GTAATCATAGAAATAAATTATACTCAAAATAAAAAATAAGGCGATATATGTTAAAATAAAAAAAAAATTAATTTTTAGAACAATAAAATAAAAATACATTATAATCAAGTTGATGTGATGTACGTTACTTGTCAGATATAGCATTCAAACGTACCCTTTCCTGCGACGATGGGAATGCTTTGAGGTTTTTTGGAACAAGCATTGCACATCGTGCTGCATCGGCAGCACGAAGTGTACTGACAAATCGTTGACAGACATTCAAATTGTGAGTCTCGGCCCATTCGTCTGGCCACGCAACAACAACCGTATTGTGTCGCAAACTGGCCAAACCTGACATCTGCAACATGTATATCATGCCAGTTTCAACTGAGAATTGAGATTTTTTCTGCAGCGAGTCAGCTGCATTCTGGCCAAAGCAAGCAAATTTAATGTCGTTTTGTTTAATCCTCTGATATGCCATCCATCCTTGCTGTCCGGTACCGGAGTTTCTTCCGAAGCGAAAACATCCGAGGGAACTTTGAGAAATCATGAACAGTCCAGTCGTTTCAGTCACTGCATTATCTTGTAGCTATTTTAAAACTATGCCTTGACTAAAGCAAGCCTACTCTCCTCGGCCCACTTGCACTTCAAACGTTTAAACTAGCTGCGTACACATGACTGGCGGAGCATTCACACAGCCAAAACAGTGCTTCGATATAAATTGAAAAGCTTCACCACATACACACGCAAATTTTAACTAAAAAGCAGGCATAGCATAAAAAGTGAGGCAGAGCCAGGTCAGCGGCAATCCTGGAAATTCTTCCAGCATTCTGATCTTAAAAAGAAGCTCTTTCTAAACAGATGCAGCAGCAGCTGCTGAATATCAAGTTTCATTTTGTTAGCACAAGTATCGTGTGCTGGAAGCAGTCTAATCAGGAGCATAAACCGAAAAGCAACAACGGCGTGATCGCTGCGTTACTTTTTCGTGCACTGCAAAAGCAGAATGTTTTCTATCTAGTACAAGTCCAAACGAAGCAGTATAGACCGGTGTTCACAGCCCAGAATTTAAGAGATTTGTCATTTCTCGAAGAACTAGTGGTATATGAATATGATATAAAAACAGCTGCAACTGCTATCTAAAATTCGAAATTTACAAAATATGTCAATTATCTGCATGGCACTTTAATAGACGAAGCTTGCAAACCTGTATCAGACAACATATTCCTTCATTCACATCATTTGTCATTAGTACATCACAGAAACCGCGAATTTTATTCAATTTGATTTGCTGAGCCAACTCCTAAAACGGTGACGATTATCTAGAGAAAAGCTTTATTTAGTAGAACTTCAAATTCATAAAAAACAAAACACACACACACAC